TTGAAGATCCGGAATGATCACTAATGCGTTTGAAAAGATTAGTGTTATCGGGGACCAAAACTGATTGTCCCAAGATGTTCTCCCGTCGAGTACTACCGTTTTAGCACCACATTGTCATATGAGACATTTTTGGAAATTTTGACGAAGTAAACTTCGTAGGAATTCTAGTAGATGATATATTAACGGATGCTGCCAAAGAATCAAAACTATTTCTGGTTTCCATTCTTGAAAGGGTTAGTAGAAATGACTAAATGGTAGTGGAATTGGTAGGTAAATCCCTTGTAATGCACAACTATCGATATGGTAACCCTGCCTCAGGGCCATCAACTTGTCTCAAATCTACACATTCTTGAAAGGGTTGGTAGAAATGACTAAATATTAGTGGAATTGGTAGGTAAATCCCCTGTAATGCACAACTATCGATATGGTAGCCCTGCCTCAGGGCCATCAACTTGTCTCAAATCTACATCTTTCCTTAGCAGGGAAAATTTTCAGTTAAAGTTTAGAGGCAGTTGCCAAATTGATTTTCTCGAATGTTAATAAGTTGCTTAATCCGTCCAAAACTTAGGAAGACCTAACACGTTTTTCTTAGTCGACGAGGTGGCAAAATTCAACATTTAGGCTAAAGAATCGAGAATGATTACATCACACGTGTGAGGAATGCAATACTGCCCAAACTTATGCTCTGATACCAAACTAACACACCTCGACCTGGAATGTCCATTTGGACTCCAAATCGAGTTGTGCTGGCCAACACCTGGAAGGTGACGAAGCCATAAATTGTAGTGTGGTAGAATATGTGAATAAATTTATACCTAAAATGCCTAAATATAAGAGTGCACTATGAGCGGGAATGAACCCATTTCACACCTAATGTCACATAAGTATAGTATAGTAAGATAAAGTGAGAATTATACCATCGAAAGGAATTGTCTACACCAAGATTTTCCAAGAATCCTCGTCGATCAGAAAGCTCAGCTACTAAAACCTGGAGGGGCAAAAAACAAAGGTGAGTGGGCCTGAAAATAAGTTTTAATAAAAAAATGTGAAAACGTTATAATCCCTTACTATAAAACATGTCTATTTTCCAAGATATACATACTACATATAGTATGAAAACACTCATGGTAGCTTGTAAAATATCAAGATATCAATACGACACAATAATTCATATATAAGTGCATGACATCAGTAATCGTATACTTTCGCATAAGCAAACATATTAAACCAAGTGCTCATCGACACATGCTAACACACGAGTTCATGTAGAGTTATTTTGACATGAATAAAACTGGGTGTAATAATAATATACGCTCTAGTGTTACAATCATGTGAAGACTGGTGCTATTCGCGGTCACATATGAATCGAAGTTGCCTATTGCAACCTGTACGACATGACTGGCACCTACTTGGATCCAAGGCGAGCGTGCAGTGAAGATGCGAACATACACGTGAAAGACTAGCCCTAGCCTTGGCCCTGGGCAAACACTAACACCGGGGCAGCAAATGATAAGCATAAAACATAAATATGGTCATGCCATAATGGTTCAATAGTTCTAATCAACATAATATCATTCGTAGCCGTAGGTATAATCATGGCATCAATAAACATACGCATATCTGTGCATCTCGTAGGATTTATGATCACTTCGTAATTTTTCGTTATTTCGCTAATTCTTATAAGCATTAGTCTAAGCTAGGCATACGTAGTAAATTTTCTTTCAATGTATAAATGGAAACCAACAAATATGTATATACTATATAAAAGAAATGACCCACTCACCTGAAGTCCGCGCTACAACTCCCTAGCACGAATATCGAGATGTTACGAACAATCGTCGCCTAGAACAAATATCAAATCACGTCTCAGAATTCATATCGATAGAACACGTAATATAAAAGAAATGACCCACTCACCTGAAGTCTGCGCTACAACTCCCTAGCACGAATATCGAGATGTCACGAACAATCGTCGCCTAGAACAAATATCAAATCACGTCTCAGAATTCATATCGATAGAACACGTAACTTACATAAAACACATCCCTAAGGACGTTCTAGAATGATTTGTAACCCATTGACCAAAAGTCAACCGTTAGTTAAAGGTCGACGATAGGGTCCACAACCCTATGTAACTTGATTCGGAAGATCTGCATCTTGGATTTCAGATCCGTAACTTCTTAAAAGTTTCAATAATCTTCTAGAACAACATCCTAAAGTTTCGGAAAGATCCAATGGTCGGATCTCTGCCAATCGCTAAAATTAAGTGGCGGCCAACGTTTAGATTTAAAAACTTAGAAAACCCATCCGGGAAGATCCGTACGTCAACTTCCCAATCAGTCAGTTCCTAATATCCTTAAATATTATTTACTATTACATATTAAAGTTTGGCGATGATCCAATGGTCGGATCGTTGAATCATATAATAACCAAGTGGCGGCCCTTAACAGAAATATAACCAAACAACGGAATTTCGTCAATCAGATGTCTAATATGAAATTGGGGCATCCATTTTAGCCTAAGGAGGTCAAATGGTGTCTTTGCCCACGCGTCGCCGCCACACGCTGCCCCGACTCACCGAAAAATTCAACTATTTCCAAAACTTCTCAAATTTTACAGGAATGAAGATCTCAACAAGTAGAGTAAGTTTTATACCTATGGCTGGGAAAAGCCTTAATCGCCATGAACCCATTGGAACCCTAGAAATGGGTTCATTTTAATTCGTCTTCTCCGGTGTTCCACTGCCTTTACAGTTTTTTGGGTTTTGTTCTTGGGGTTGAGGAAAGTCTATCGGTGGTGGTGGTTGGCGGAGTTACCTTTGGATTTGATGGATCGTTGCCTCGAAGCCCGTCGCACCTAATGGTGCAATTTTCCACAATTCCAAACCCAATCTCATCAAATTTGGTGTGGAAATGGTAAAGGAAGGGCCAAGATGATGATTGGGAGTGGTGGATTAGCCCAATTCATCGGAAAAACTGTAAATTTCGCCGGAGAAACTCACCTATCACAACCGGGTTATGGGTCGAAAGGGAACCTGGTCGGTTTCTCTCTTTCTCTCCTTCCTCCTTTCCCCTCCTTTCCGATTCTTTCTTCCTTTATTCCTCATTTCTCACAAAATAATCTTAAATTAATAATATCATAATTAGGAGAAATATATAAAATAATAAATAGGAATCTTTACAAAAGTACTTTTTGGATTTGTAATTCCATAAAACCCCTATCGTAACTCAGGTTTTGATTCAGATTACGCTTACGCAATCGTCCCGTCGAGAACTTTGAGAGTACGGTAAAATAGTAACTTGCACGCGTCACTAAATGACGGTCAAAGAAAATCAACAATCTCACTAGTAGGGCATTTTTGTCAATTCACTCTTTTAAAAATTAATAAAATAATAAAATTAGGGACGGGTTATCACATTTTTATCTTTAGTTTGTGCCCATTTTTAATTTGCAACCCTTTTTTTCATTTGTACCCGTTTTCTTTTTTAATTTGTACCCATATATTAATTCCTTTTTATGCCCATATTTTTTTAACTTTTATTTGTATTTGTACCCCATTTTTAATTTTGCTAAATTACCCATGCTAATTATGTGTATTTATTTTATGTTTTATAATATATCAATGGTTATTTTTTAAAATATGTTAATTATTATGTGGGTGTACATTAATTTTTTTTGCTATACTTTTGCGAAGAACAATATTACTCTAAAATTGATTTTTAACAATTTATTATATTTTAAAAATATTATTTGAATTTGTTAAGATTTCATAATTTGTGGGACAATAAATGCATAATTGCATGAGTTAAATCTCTTAAATGATGCTAAGAACATCGGTCAAAATATTTAAACAAACAAGGTTTCAATCTAACTATTAGGTTCTCATCGATATTTTTCCTCAATTTTTGATCAAGGTCCTCAGATTTTAATAAACATTATTAATTATTTCAATAATAAATTTTTTTTTATTTCTAAATAAGTAAATATATTCATTTAGTGTTAGAAACGTTACATTTGGTATATCCATATTTATGGCCAAATTTTTTTATCATATATTTTTTAGTTTGTACCCATTTTTAATTTGCAGCCCTTTTTTTAATTTGTACCCATATATTAATTCCTTTTTGTGCCCATATTTTTTTAACTTTTATTTGTATATGTACGTATTTTTAATTTTGCTAAGTGTACCCATGCTAATTATATGTATTTATTTTATGTTTTAGAATATATGAATAGTTATTTTAAAAAAAAATATGTTAATTATTATGTGGGTACATTATTTGTTTTTTGCTATACTTTTTGTGAAGAACAATATTACTTTAAAATTGATTTTTAACTATTTATTATATTTTAAAAATATAATTTGAATTTGTTTAGATTTCATAATTTGTGAGACATTAAATGCATAATTGTATGAGTTAAATATCTTAAATGATGCTAATGACTCTTATAATTTTTTTTGCATCAGGCGCATGCATTAAACGTGATAGTGCAACGCGTGTCAGGGGACAAAAAATCTGTGGGGCCTGTGCTACAGTGCTCCCAGCGCATGGCGACATGGCATGTTCTTGTGCGTTGGATTTTAATCATTGGATTTTCAACAGTAAAAAAATTGAATTCAAACCCAACGGTTGGCACACATGGCTGAGCCATTGGATTTCAAACAGTCATATAATCCAACTGTTCTTACTAATACTTCAAACAGTCATATAATTCAACAGTTCTTAGAGTAAGAGTTTCGAAGAATGATTGCACTAAAAGAAGCAAAAATAATACATACATTTGCTTAACACATTACCATTTAACGGTCATGATGCAACTAAAAAGAAAAAGATATCATATTTGACCGTTATATAATGAATCTATTACAATACTGTAGCCAGTTAAATTTGGGCATGAGAGATCAATTATTCACTACGAAAGAGTGAATTTGGGCTCAGTTTTAGCCCAAATACATCAAGTCCTAAAAGCCCAGTCAAATGTCTCCCACAGGGAGTCCACGTCGACAGCCAGCAAGCAGCACCGCAACAGCCCCAATATGTTTGGCGCCCTCAGCTCCACGCTGACTTTTTAAGCCAAGAATCATACGTCGTTTCAAACTCATACGCAATGATGCACTCTCTGGCGTCTTCCCAATGAACAATTTCACATTCTTCTTCCAAATATTCAATAAATCTCCGGGCTTTCTGCAAGACCAACCGACAAAGACCAGGAGGAGGAGGAAATGGTGGGTTCAAGGCATGGCCTGCCTTCACGGATGAGCACCCCGGCTGCCAGCAGGGTTGATTTCGAAGGAAACATGGATACCATGTTCAGAGAATCCAAAGATCAGCAGAAACAGTTCCATTCCGTGCGCGTTTCCGACGCCAATTTGGGTTTCGGAGAGCGGGCTTTCGCCGCCGCCGGCGCCGCCTTCGTCTCTGCGATTATCGTTAACCCTCTTGACGTTGCCAAGGTTCCGCAATTTCTGTCTCTCTTTTTTTCTTTTTTTTTTTTGGATTATTTGTGTTTAAATTTGTTCATTTTTTCATCTTTTGGACAATTTGTACAGGGAAATTCCCATTTTGCCATATGCTGTGATTGACAAGATAATATATTTTTAGGAAAACTAATTAAAAATAAAAAAAACTTCTCTTTTAATAGAAAAAAAAATACACCGAAAGTGTTTTGTTAAAACATTCATTATTTTTCTGCTGTGAATTGATAAAAGGGTAATTTTATTGATTTAGAAGTTACCCTTTTGAACTGATTGGCGTTTGCCCTTGCGTGTTTAGAAAGTTCTCTGCTTTAATGTTTGTTTTATGGGAATTGATTGGTGTTATGCATTTTTATTGCATTGCCTTCAGACAAGGTTGCAAGCACAGGCTGCTGGAGTTCCTTATCAAGGGCTGTGTGATGTGGCTTGTCCGGAACCAAACGAGGTATGTGTGCAACTGGCTTTCAATTACTTAGTTTGGTACTACTCTTTATTGTGTTCATCTTCGATTCGTAATTACTTTGCAATAAGCTTGAATCATGGCTAGCTTGTTTCATGTATGGATATTTCCTTGTACTGAAGCACCTTTAATTTTGGCTTTGGGATTGTCTTTAGATGCTTTCAGAGTTGAGATCTTCCACGCCACGCATAAGGTCAGTACTTGGAACAAAGACTGTCTGCCCTCCGGAGTGTAACCAGTATAAAGGAACACTGGATGTGCTGTACAAAGTCATACGCCAGGTAGTGGATTTATACACAGTATTTCTATCTAGCATATTCATATCTGAAAAGAAGTAACTTATCTTCCTTTGTGTTTATAGTCAAAGTATCTATCATTAAAACAACTTTTGCAATCCAATAGAGTGCTCCTGTCATATTGTGTTGTAAAGTGTCGGGTTAAACCAGGCATAGGTTTTTTAATTAACCTTTAGTAAAAATCTACTCACTCTCTCTCATTAATTGCGGACGTCTTGAAAGTGCTGTGTACAGTCTTAGATAGAGAGTAACTGGGTATATTTCATGTTAAGACACTTTTCAGTGCCTTGTCCATGTGCCTAATGTATCCCCATTGAGGGACAATCTGTTTATTTTTCAGATCATCGTCTTTTAGTTTGTAGGCAAACTTATAGTAATATTAGAGGGGTTTCACAGGAAGGATTTTGGAGACTCTGGAGAGGCACTACTGCAAGCTTAGCATTGGCCATGCCAACTGTAAGTCTTTCTCTTTCCAAGAATTACCTCTTTATCCAAATGGTTCCTTGCAGCGTTAGATTCCATGCACTTAGTTCTGGGAGTTATGTTGCTAGTAGTTACTTTTTATATGTCAATCAGGTGGGGATCTACATGCCTTGTTATGACATTTTCCGCAATTGGATGGAAGATTTCACGACTCAAAATGCTCCAAACTTAACACCATATGTGCCATTAGTTGCAGGGTCAATAGCACGATCATTAGCTTGCATTTCTTGTTACCCTGTTGAGCTGGCAAGGACGCGCATGCAGGTATCTTATATGTAGATTTGATGTCCTCGTTTATCTTTTATGTGTCACCTCTCGACCAATCCCATGAATGTGATGTCAATAACTCTACCTCAAATTATCTTAGTTTCTGGCATGTACAAATTATGATGTGATTTGAAATTGAAAAAAGATTAACAATTGTTATTGAGGATCTGTGACCTATTTCAGCATAAAAATACAATTAGCATCAGACAACAAGATGGCTATTAACTAATGTTTAGTGATTAGTTTCTTTAACTATATATTTTGCCCAATAGAAACCATGTCTCCAAATCCTTGATAAACGGTCCTTCATGTAGTGACTACTTATCTTGATGATTAGGTAAGGAGAACTACTCTGTGGATGGTAACTTTTTTTTCTTTCATTTTCTCCCAGAATTGAAATTTCTCAATTCTACATTCTTGAAATGTAGGCATTCAGGGAAAGCCAAGCTGGAGTGAAGCCTCCAGGAGTTTGGGGGACGCTGAATAGGGTCATCGACCCTGTCAAGAACAAAACCCCCCTTCAAAACTGTATGTGAACTCCCTACTTCTAGTTTTGATTTATATCACTATTTTTCCATCTATCTTAAGTAATTGGATTTGCAGCTGATTTAGATGACCTTTCTTTTTGTCTTATGTAACAGTACAAAACTATCGCTTCTTGTGGACTGGCCTTGGGGCGCAACTTGCTCGCGATGTTCCTTTTTCTGCAATCTGTTGGTCAACCCTTGAGCCAGTGAGTCACATTATTTCAAGAAAATTCAGGAGCAACCTTCTGACTTTCATTTATGTTTATGCCTTGCACCAGTCGGTGTAGATAACTTGATTCAACTTATTCTTTTGCCCATTCTGTGCAGATCAGGCGAAGAATTCTTGGTCTCGTGGGTGATGAACCCACTGCAGCCAGTGTCCTCGGGGCAAATTTCTCTGCTGGATTTATTGCAGGAAGCCTTGCAGCTGCTGCTACATGTCCACTAGATGTGGCAAAAACCCGGAGACAAATAGAGGTTATTTATCCAAAAAAGCTTCACCATGGTTTTGTTTCCTTTCCTTTCTTGTCATTGTACTGAAAGAAACAGCAAGGCAATCCTAAATATGCTACAGAGTTTATTCACGAGATTCAAGCGCACCAAAATTTGAAAATATTATTTGTTTGAATTTTAACAGTTTTGTTTTTGCAGAAGGATCCGACAAGAGCATTAATGATGACAACAAGAAAAACGTTGCTCGAAATTTGGAGGTACGTGAGACTTCAACTGCAATATAAGCCATCAATCACATGATTTGAATTCCCTAAATTAATGTTTATTTTCAATGTTTTTAACCAACCATAGCCTCAATCTTTTTGCGTTGGATAGGGACGGAGGGATGAAGGGGTTGTTCATGGGAGTCGTTCCCCGTGTTGGTCGTGCTGGCCCTTCTGTTGGCATAGTTGTCTCCTCATATGAAGTCGTCAAGTATTTTCTACATTATAGACATCTGACCACTCAATGATCCAAACTAACACATTCATGGATCGTTCTTGTGCTTTAGTTTCCGGATTCTGGTATACTTGTTCAAAGCTCACCGGGCTTTTTAATCGTAGACGGACCTACCTTGAAGGAGCAAAATCACTCAGTTACGCGATTTCATCTGTCCGAATCACGATGTTCTTGTCATGATGGTGGGGAAAGGTTTACAAAAGCGACAGAAGATCACAGCAATTTTTGGAGAATAAAAGATCTTCTTCATTGTTCCTGGGAACGCCAGGAATATATTTTATTTTTCCTTTGAAACTTTAAGTCTTTGATTGCAGCATAACACTGCAAATATTTTCCTCATTGCAACAAAAATTGTCAATACCGATGTTCTTTTCACTGTAAGTTTGGGTTGCAAATTAGAATTCTTTATTTTTTGGATTAAGTACCTAAATCCTCCCCTTTTGTGTGATTCGAAACTAAGCTCAATATTTTCACACATTTCAAAAGAGTACTCAACTTATAGGAATTATCACATTATGAATAGGTATGAAATGACAGACTTGAGTCTCTTGTATCATTTTCTTGGAATGGGAATCCTGTACTATGAGAATGGGATCTTCATTAACCAAAGAAAATATGCTATTAGTTTGCTGCAAAAGTGTGGATTGAAGGACTGCAAGCCTGTTAGTACTTTGTTGGTGGTTAGTTACAAGTTCAAGAAGGATGATGAGAGTGAGAAAACAAATGAGAACATGTATAGACAATTGGTTGGAAGTCTCTTGTATTTGATTGCCACTAGACGAGTTTTCATGTTTGCAGCTGGCTTACTTGCCAGATTCATGCATGGACCATCAAAGAAACAATTGAGAGTAGCCAAGATGGTTCCCAAGTATATACAAGGCACATTAGACTATGGGGTTGACTATGAGAAAGGCAAGGAGTCAATCTTAATAGGCTATTGTGATAGTGATTGGAGTGGAGATGAAACTGATATGAAAAACACATACATATGTGCTTTTTCTTTTGGGAATGGAGTTGTCTCTTGGGCATCTGTTAAACAACACTGTGTTGCTTTGTCAACAACAAAAGTTGAATACATGAGTGCCACTGAAGCAACCACTCAAGCTGTTTGGTTGAGATTTGTACTTTAAGATTTTGGTGAAGAACACACTGAAGCCACTCCTCTCTATTGTGATAATACTTCAGTCGTTGTTGTGCCAAGGAATCCAATATTTCATCAAAGAACTTGAAAGGAGATACCATTACATTAGAGAAGATTTGCAGTCAAACATTATCAACTTAATCTATTGCAAATTAGAAGATTAACTTGCTGATATTTTCACCAAGGCATTGCCCAAACATAGATGTTGTATGCTTTAAATTGGAGTCAAACTAGCTACCAGCTTAGAAGGGAGTGTTGGAGCATAAATATGGCAGCTAGATCAATGTATCAAGGTTGCTGCAATATGGAAGAAGAAGAAGCTCGAAATGTCTGAGTGTTGTTCTTAGTTAAGTTTATATATTTGTAATGAACGGTCAAGATTATAACATCTCAATGGTGTACAACTTGATACATATCCAGTTTGTTAACTATTAGGTGAAAGCATGTAAGCTGCACGTGATGCTTTGGTGGGCTTGCAACGGTTAGAATACCTACTTTGTAGCCGAGTTTTGTGGATCGAATCCAATGAAGATTCATGGAGCTATGTACTCCATCTAAATTCCATCTTCAATACATCATCTTCAATCTCATTTCAATTACTTGTTGATTTCATTACAAATACACTAAGAAATCTAGCTCAAAACTATCCCAAACAGTAACATGGCCTCAAAGCCAGGTTGGATTTGAATCTAGGAGTGAACCTGTGAGTGTTCGTCTAGGTTTTCGACGAAGAACTCAGACATATACATATGGCTAGATCTAGTACCAATCTATGGGCACCAATCTTCACTGGTGTCAACTACGAATTTTGGTGCATCAGAATGAAGACTATCTCATAATCTGTGGAGTTTTGTTGAAGATGGTTTTGTATTGTTGAAGGAAGGGAATGAGATGGATGAAAAGCAAATTCTCGTAGCTCAGGATCTCATCTTCAGAGATGCAAATGCATTGGGATTGATACAAGGAGTTGTGAGTGATGAAATCTTCCCCATAATTGCAAACGAAGAGACTGCAAAAAATGCTTGGGATGTTCTTAGGCAAGAATTCAAAGGTGATGCTCAAGTCATGGCTATGAAACTGCAAGGTATTCGTCATGATTTTGAATATGCTAGGATGAGAAACAATGAAATATATCTCTGATTACTTGACAAGACTATTTGCCCTTCTGAATAAAATGAAGATGTTTGGTAAAACTTTGCCAAACAAAAGACTACTTGAGAAAATGTTAATTAGTCTAACTCCTGCATACGATAATATTGTATCTGTTATTTAGGGGACAAAGAAATTGGATGGGATTGATCCAAGTGAGATTGTTGCAACTCTAAAAGGCTTTGAGCATAGGTTGAAGAGACATTATGAAGATGAGAAAGTAAATGAAAAGGCATTTAGTAGCCTAAGTATTCAAAATAAGAATAGATCAAAGACCACTGGATACAAGGGTAAGAAGCCTTTCAGGTTTAGAGATAAGAAGGGTGATTCCAAGTTCAATGACAGGCCTCAATATGCAAACAAACCTTGGTTTAACAAGGGAACACAAGGGAGGCATGTAAAATCTATGGTAACATACAATATGCTGAAGCAGATTCAAGGAAAACCGAAATGTCACAACTATGGCAAATTCAATCATTTTGCTAGAGATTGCAGAGGTAAACTAGTTCAATAGGTTCAAGTTGCACTACAAGTGGAAGAAGAAACATTTACGTTCTTTGCTTGTAATTCTGCTGCAACAGTCAAGAGTGAACATGTTTGGTATATTGACAGTGGATGCAGCAATCATATAACTTCAAATGAGTCTATGTTGATTGACTTGGACATGAATGTTTCAACAAGGATCAAGATGGGAAATGGACAAATTGTTTAGGCAATTGCAAAAAGAAAATTGGTGATTGAAACCAAGAGAGGTGGTAGGCACATTAAAGAAGTAATGTTAGTGCCAGGACTAGATGAAAATCTTCTAAGTGTGGGCCAAATGATGCAATATGGTTATTTCTTGCTGTTTGATGATGATCAGTTGTAATCTTTAGGATAAAAGCTTGGAGGGTCATGTTGTTATTGTACAAATGATTGGTAGCATGTGTTTCCCATTACTCATGAAGATATGAATGGTTATGCATTAAAAGCCAATGTTGAAGGTGATGCATGAGAATGGCACAGAAGGCTAGGGCATTTAAACTTTAACAACTTGCAACTATTGTTTGATAAAGATATGGTATTGGGTCTACCAAAGCTCAAGAAATCAACTAGAGCCTGTGCAGGGTGTATTACTAGAAAACAACACATAAATGCTTTCACTAAAGAGTTAACTTGGAAAGTAAGCAAGCCTCTGGAGCTAGTTCACTCAAATATGTGTGGACCAATGCAGGTTATACAACATTTGGAGGAAACATTTATTTCTTGACATTCATTGAGGATGCTACCAAAATGTGTTGGCTTTACGTTCTGAATCACAAATTAGAAGTGTTAAAAGTGTTCAAGAAATTCAAAGGTATGGTTGAATTGCAAAGTGGTTTTAGAATTCTCAAACTAAGAAGTGACAGAGGTGGAGAATACAATTCTCATGAGTTTATGCAGTTCTATGATGACTTAAGACTTGAAAGACAGTTGACAAGGGCATATTCTCCTCAACAAAATGGAGTTACTGAGAGGAAGAATAAGACCATTGTTGAAGCTATCTGAAGCTATCTGACAGGTACTGCCTTCAGACAACTATGATACCCCTAGAGAGTACAACATTTATGAGATTTATGGATTTGCCTTTGGGCAATTTTACTACCAACTATGACCATTGTTTTCTAAAAAACCTATTATGTAGTATTATATATGTTTTCAAAACATGGGGTTAGTATGTTCATAAATAAAATAGTTTTCTTGTTATTATAAACTTTGGTCCACTCACCTTTCCTGTTTTGCACCCCCCCTCAGGCTTTAGAATCGAGGCACATGATCCCCATGTCAGGGCACGTCCACATAGTTACATTTGAGTCTTCTCAATGTATGACTCTTCCCTTCGTTCATACCTTTTTATTATAATTCTTTCATATTATTGTAGACATCGAAATTTTGGTGAAATGAAAGTTGACCAATAATTAAAATTTCAACGCTCACGTGTCACATAAATTTTACATGTAGCGTGTGACTCAACGAAAAATCGAAAAAGTCATCAAATAGGACACATGTCAATACCTGGCAGAAATGATTTATTTCATCTGATTATTTAAATCCAAAAATCAAGTTTTGGAATTCTATAAATAGGAAGCCAAGGCATTCATTTTGGGGAGGGGAATTGATATCACACCAAAACCTTGAAGTTTTGAAACTCTAAAGCTCTCAAGCAAATCCCGAAGGATCAAGAAAGCTCTCTTTGTTCTTCATCAAATCTTCTTTCAAGATCAAGCCCCGACGGCCCTTGAAGAAATCCGCACAACCATTCTTCAAGATCAAGCCTTGACGGTCCTTGAAGAAAGTGTTCATCGTTTATCATCCGTTCATCCCAAGATCAAGCCCCAAAGGCCTTTTGGATCAACAACATCAACAAATTCACACATTCAATCGTTCTTCAAGATCAAGCCCAAAAGCCCTTGAAGATCCACTCATCCATCAACCTTCAAGATCAAGCCCAAAAGCCCTTGAAGAAATCCGCACAACTATTCTTCAAGATCAAGCCCCAACGGCCCTTGAAGAAAGTGTTCATAGTTCATCATCCGTTCATCCCAAGATCAAGCCCCAACGGCCGTTTAGATCAACAACATCAACAAATCCACACATCCAACCGTTCTTCAAGATCAAGCCCAAAAGCCCTTGAAGACCCTCTCATCCATTAACCTTCAGGATCAAGCCCGATAGCCCTTGAAGAAGCTCTCACCTGTTCATCCTAAGATCAAGCCCCAACGGCTTTTTGGATCAACAACTTTAAGATCAAGCCCAAAAGCCCTCGACGATTTGTTCATCCCTGTTCTTCAAGATCAAGGCCCAATGGCCCTTGAAGAAACTTCCAACTATTCATCCAAGATCAAGCCTCGACAGCCCTTAGATCAATAACACGTCAACAAACCAACATCTTACGGAGATCGAATCAGAGGACCAAATTACAAAGAGATTGTAACCCCAAAATTCATTAATACTACAAATATATTTTGTACACGTTTTCTTATCTCGTTCATTGTTAGGAATTTCTGTGTTCACAAATTTGGCATGCCCAGTGGGGCAATCTCTACCTCTCATCTCTTTCTCCGTTCAAGAAAACCAAAGCACACCTCCAAAATCAATGGCATCAATCAAAGGACAAGCCGTTCTTGTAACCACTAGGG